GGCTGTCCATCAACCACACTTATTTAGTTAACCAATTTAGTACTGTTAACTTACATTTAAATGTAAACTTCTGAAAAACCAATGATTAGCATGTAAATGGCTTTTGAGAACATATTTTCTTTCAAAGTTTTGAAGATGAAACTAGATAACCTAAAACTGAATAATATAGAAGGTCATATCAGTAATATTTACTATTTTAACAGGAAAATTTTCATCTGAATATGATTGTGACATTTGAACACGGCATAGGAGTTTTTCCTGGCTGTGACTGACAGACTTAGTGAGGGAATGTGTCCTCTTTCCAGGTCCACAATGGGGCGTAGTTAGGGCAAGAACTTCCCAGCGCCATGCCTTCCTCCCATCTCTCTCCACCTGGGAGATTTAATGGTCTCTGTTTGAATTTTCATGGGTGAGGGAGGACTCAAAAAGTCAATCACTCCAGGGGAAGTTCTAAGGAACTCCTTTCATTGACCAGAGGTCTAGGAGAAGGTGAGGGTTCCTCCCAGGTTAAAAGTCCTCTTCTTCCACACCCCTTTGGACTCCATGTTTGGATCCCCTTCCACCCTCATGAAAGCTGTCTTCCTCTCTCCTGGATTTTCCCTCTGGAGTCCCCTTCCACATTCTCTCATGGAAGCCTGTCTTCCCCTCCTAAACTCCATCTCTCTCTCTATTCCCTTCCACTCAGTATGGAAGCTGCTTCCCTCTCCCGGATTCCATCTGTCTGGATTCTCTCACTCAGTGTGAGAGTTAGCTGTTTCTCTCTCATCCTGTTTCTCTTATTCTACTTAAATGAATCACTTTCTACATACACTTTTGAGTCTGGCATTTACAGTACACTGCACCGTGGTCTCCTCTCCCCTTCTTGGGGAAGTGAGAGACCAAGAACCTGGTGAAACCTCCTCTCAGGGTAACTGAGGGCTCCCCTGAACCCTAAAACCCAGAAACATTAGGACTTAGGTTCTCTCTGTCTTTTTAGTGAAACATAATTTACCCACAGAAAGCTTCAGCTTTTTTTTGCGTAGTTCTGTGAGCTTTGACAAATGAAACTTTTATATAAATGTCACCATAATCAATAACTAAAACAGCTTCATCATGCCAAAATATTCTTTCCTCTTTTCTTCTTATATTTCTCTTGTCTTCAGGACTAAGTCAATAGCATACCAGAAACCTTTACAATTGAGAAAACTACACTGAGAATTGAGAAATGTCAACTTTTGGGTTGACCTGTAATAGGAATCTGGCGATAAAGGAAACCAGAGAGAGTGCCACAGTAAAAACACAAGAATAGCCATAAAAGTACAAGAACACTTTTACTGAGATAGGTTTTCAAGCTTTCATTTCAAATCTCAACTAATCTGATGCCATATAAACATTTCCTATTTCTGGGAGATTAGAATATTGCAATGAATTTTATGAAAATGAACAGAAGAATGGCTTTCTTAGCCACTCAAGATTTTTTTTTAGCCTATGCTAAAGAAAAGTGAAAATTACTTTCTCAGACAGAAAGATTTTAGCTGTTTGCCTGCTTGGATACAATTAAAAGTAAAGTCATTCTCACTTACACTTTCAACTCGTTCATGTCTTACAAATCTATATGCATGTGGCAAAATATAACCCTCATTCCTCTATGTTTTTCATATCTTCTTTTTCTATCATAAGTGTGAATGAAACATATACAAGCTTCTTTATTTTTATATGTCTATTATGTATACTATATGTATTATATGTATATTATGTAATCACTGGAGTAACTGTAGTTACTGGAGTAACTACATAATAGGGTATAAAAAAGATATGAAAAGAATGTCAGAGTTATAGAATTTTATCTATAATAAGAGTTAAGGATAAAATTCAAAAGGATAAATTTGAAAATAATAAAAAATGAAAGTAAAACAAAAAATAAGTAATTTATACAATAGAATATATATATGCATATAGTGTGTGTTTATACACGTTTGTATGAGACATGAGAGAGACTATGAGTCAGAGAGGTAAAGATATACACAATGGGTATGATAATTTTGAGGAGTTAAATAAAAGTCATATAGTTTGGGAAAACGAGAAATATCTAAAGTTCAATAGGTAGAAGAAAACACTGTCATTCAATTAGTGACTGAAAACCAAATGAAATAATAAAAAATGGAAATGTTTTCAGGTTAAGAAATGCAATGACTAGCAGGTTCCTATCAAGACAAAGCAATTTAGAGAAGTTTTATAAATTGTGCCTACTCTCTCAGACTCTATAACTCTATGATCCTGACTTAGCCCAGCATTCTTAACAAAACAAGCACTCAGGCAATGAAATGAAGAGCGAGCCTAATTTAGCATGGCTCATTTCTCAAAAAACCTTTAGCTGTTGCTAGTGATCGTTAACGTCTTAAAATTTCCATTCATTTTGTATTTAATTATCTTTCCTAGAGTTTTACTCAGAAATGATGTATAATAGACTGATTTATAGTTACTAGGCATATGTGAAAATAGATCTGGTAAGCGAATTTGTTCAATTAATATAGAAGAAGTGTTTTATTAAGTAGTGTGATAAATGAGGATTTTTAGCACCTCATTCTCTATCATTCACTTGGAAATTCTTTTACATTCCTTCCAGTTTTTACATGCCACATACAATTAATCATTAAGCTTTACTGACTCCTAGCCCCTCCTCTCCATCTGTACTGTCATTGCTCTAGCTGAGGCCATCTTCAACTGCCACCTCATTACTACATGAGTCTTGTCTCCTCTGAGCCACCCAGAGGTTTAGGAGGATAAACGGTGTTTGAGGCAAGGTGATGTGTTTGTTCTCCCTCTGTCCACTGTTGCTCTAGAATTTGCATTCATTTCTGAGAGCACCCTTCCCTATGCCCCAGCCCCTGTACTCTATTTTACTTCCAGAATGAACTTTCTGACCCAAATATTGAAGCAAGAGAGTATCTTGCTTCAATAAGTTCTCATCATCTGAAGCTGAAGTAGCTACTACCAAAGCTCTCAGGGGCCAGGCAGGTGGGGACTATTGTATAGCAGTGACATTAGAGCCTCTCAAATGTAGCCAGAACTTCCAGTTCTTCAAAACAGAGTGGAAATTCATATAAAACAGATTTTATATGAAATGGTTTAGCTTCTAAATGTCAACAAACAATTTAACACCTTGTAAAGCATGGCATAAGCCAAAAAACCACTTTTGTATAGTCTGTTAACAATCAACCTGTGAACTCTGACCTGATAGGATAAGATCCACACTCCTTCAAATGGCATAAAAGATTCTTCATGATCTATTTTCTGCCTGACTTACCAACCATATCTCTTGCCCATTCTTCCTGCCAAAAAAAATGTACACTTCATCAATTCTGACTCTTCATTTTCAGAAAAAAAAGTGTAGTGTCATTTTCCTTTCTGCTTTTGCCTCTGTTCCTGTACATGGAGTGTCCTCCCTAATTCACATTGCATCACTTCCAAACACCTCATTCAATTCTCCCTTGATTAGCCATCTCTTTCCCTACCACTCTCCTCCCTTGCCATTTGGAATCCATGTCTCTTTGGTAGGTTCCTAAACCATTATGTACATCCCAGTCATTAACTGAAATAAAGACTATAAAAGAAGTAATTGTACGTGGGGAAGATATTAAGTTCCATTTCATGTGTATTAGGCTTGAAGATTTCATGTCAGTAGGCAGTTGTGTAAATAGGTATGGGACTTAGGTGCAATATTCGGCCTTCAGGTTGGGATCTGAGAAAAATTAAATAGAAAAGAGAGTTAAAGATGAAATCCTGTGAAATAAGATGTAGACAGAGAAAAATGAGGCTTATAAGAGGAGTCTGAAAAATAATTACAAAGTTAGGAAAACCCAGAAGAAAGTAGTGTCATGGAAGACAAGGGGAAATTTTCCAGAGGGAGGAAATATTCACCATGGTCAAATACTGTAAAACATCCTTTGGATTTAGCAATTACATCAGTGCTAATCCTGATAAAAACCAGTTTTAAGGAAGGTGGTTGTTATACCAAACTTGAGTGGACTGAGGAATGAATTAAAAACATGGGTATGGAAACCATGAATATAGATTACTTTATCAGGAGTATTTTTTTTTGAATTGGTGAAGAAACATTAGGCTTTTATATAAGGTCAAGGAAATATTTTTTGTATGATCTATTTATTCGTTTAATTTTGGCATTTCTCAACAGGGAGTTATTAGCATTTTGGGAAGGGTACTTAGTTGTTGTTTGGAAAATTCCTACACATTGCAAGTTATTTAGTTATTACTCTCTTCCTCATAAACCACAGCAGTGTTCCACAATCATTTTGATAATCAAAAATACCTCTACCCACATATCCAAATATCTCTGGAGTAATTGCATCGACTCTATTAGAGAATCACAACGCAGTCTCCCCACAATCCATTCTTTTTCTCCTTCATGCTTTATTGCAAAAAATATCAGACAGCAAAGTTGAAAAAATAGTAAAAGACATTTGGATATCTGTTACCTAAATTCAGAAATTAAAATCTTGCATTATCGACTACTTATATGCATTTGTATTTGTTTTTTATTTCATGGAATCATTTGAAAGCAAGTTGTCAATATCATGATATTTAACATACTCATCTCCTTAAATTAAGGATACATTCCTACATAATCACATTATTACATCTTAGCACAGAAATAAAAATTCCTTAATATCATCTAAAACACAATCCATATTCAATTTTTCCAATAATCAATTAATATATCTTTTTTTCAAATCAGAACCTAATCAAAACTTACATGTTTAATTGGTTGTCATAGTTTTCAGTGTCTTTTAACTTAGAACATTTTTATTTTAATTTTTTTCTTTTTTTTTCTGAGACAGTCTCGCTCTGTCACCAGTCGCCAGGCTGGAGTGCAGTGGTGCGATTTCGGCTCACTGCAACCTCGCCTCCTGGGTTCAAGCAATTCTCCTGCCTCAGCCTCCTGAATAGCTGGGACTACAGGTGCACACCACCACACCCAGCTAATTTTTGTATTTTTTTTTCCAAAAGCACTGTTTTTATTTATATAGAGTCCTAACCACTTCGGCAGTAGAAGGAGTGGGAGAGGCTCCTTTTTCAATCCAGGGACCTCCGTAATGTTGGTTTGTTGTTACTAAACACACAGTTAAGTGACATCATGGATCTGGTAAACTAACGACAATATTTAGTTTCTCTCTGCTAGAGCAACAAGGTGAGCATCAAACTCTGCTTCTGTAAGAATCGTGAATTTAGGATTTTTCAACTGTCACAACTCCAACTTCTATGTCTGAAGGTTTGAAATCAATTGATAGAACAGTAGACAAGCATGTAATTGCAGTTTCCACTGTCTGTTCAAATGTCCAATCAAATTTCTTCTTCACTTTTTTTTCAAGGAAGCTGGTTGAGTCAGTCTGTTTAACTCCTGCTGCAGTGGCTTTAAACCCACAGTAGTAACCTGCAGGATCATATATACCTGAGGGCCTTGCTCTTCATCTACACCAATTAAAATCATACAACAACCAAGAGGCCTCATTTCGGCATTCTGTGTATAGACCTGAGAAATCTCAGCAATTCTTTTACACAGCATGTTCACAGGAATCTCACAGCCATACTTGTATTTCCAGTTAGCTGCCTTGTAGCGTGCCCTCTGCACCTGGGATCTGCTGTCAGCTGTCATTCTGGTCATCACACAACCAATGTTTTCAGTTATCTTGAATAAGTGAGTCATTGTGCTGGAATCCAATAATTTGTCAGGTACTTTCTTCTGTGTGACAATTACTGCACAGTCTTTTCCTCTGACAGCTACTGATGTAAGGCTATCCTGGTTAAGCCTTAAAAGCATATTCTACTTGGTAGAGCCGACCCTCAGGTGAAAAAATGGTAATGTGGCGGTCAAAACCGGCTCTGGAACCACTGGACAAGTTGGTAGAACCGCTACTTCAAACACAATCTCTGAGCCCCGCAGCTCCCGCACCAGGTGTACAAGCCCCTCCCAGAAGTTGCAGCCAATTTTTTTATTTTTTAGTAGAGATAGGATTCACTATGTCGGCCAGGATACTCTTGATCTCTTGACTTCGTGATCTGCCCGCCTCGGCCTCCGAAAGTGCTGGGATTACAGGCGTGAGCCACCAGGCCCAGCCTATTTACAATTTTTTACAACACTGACTTTTTAAAAAAGTCGAGGCCAGTGTCCTAGAGATTATCCTATATTTCAGATTTGTCTGATTAATTACGTGTGGTATCATCTAATATGCTCTTCTATCTGTTTCTAGTAAAGTGATAATTGATCTAAAAGGCCTGGTTAAACTCTCAGGCTAAAATTTAGGTAATGCTGAGGCACATAACAGAGGCTGCTCTACTATTAATGGTGCTATGCTTGATCATGGAGTTGAATCTTTGGTCATTACATATTGTTGATTGCAGGGAATGAGTGTTTACATTATTATAGTTTTAGCACTAAGACAGGGCTTAGTACATACAGAGTACCAATAGGCTACTCATAAATATCAGCTTAATAATGGTGAGTAAATGAATGATTTAAACTGATGTTAAGTGATAGCTAACAAAATAAGAGAGTTGGGTTTTGACATATATGTTCTAGAATCCTTGGTTATATGTCTAGCAGAGGAAACAAATTCAGTGTTTATACATTCAATTACTGTTATTTTTTTTGAGACAGAGTCTTGTTCTGTTGCCAGGCTAGAGTGCAGTGGTGCAATCTCGGCTCACTGCAACCTCCACCTCCTGGGTTCAAGCGATTCTCCTACCTCAGCCTCCCAAGTAGGTGGGACTACAGACTCACACCACCACACCTAGCCGATTTTTTTTGTATTTTTAGTAGAGACAGGGTTTTGCCACATTGCTCAGGCTGGTCTTGAACTCCTGAGCTCAGGCAGTCTGCCATTTTGGCCTTCCAAAGTGCTAGGATTACAGGCATGAGCCACTGTACCCAGTCTTGTGTATGGTAATTTGTTATACAACAGTAGAAAATGAATACATATAGGCAGTGTGCGTTTCCATTATTTGCACTCAAGAACCCTAACTGGTTCATGTATCTACTGCTGGGGAGTGCCGAGATAATAAATGGAATTATCACACTCTGTCTCGTTCTATTACTACTATACATATTTTTTTTGAGACAGAGTCGCTCTCTGTTGACAGGATGGAGTACAATGGCATGATCTCAGCTCACTGCAACCTCCGCCTCCTGGGTTCAAGTGATTCTCCTGCCTCAGCCTCCTGTGTAGCTGGGACTTCAGGTGTGCACCATCAGGCCTGGCTAATTTTTGTATTTTTTTTTTAGTAGAGACCAAGTTTCACCATGTTGGCCAGAATGGTCTCTATCTCTTGACCTCATGATCCACCTGCCTCAGCCTCCCAAAGTGTTGGGATTACAGGCGTGAATCACCGGGCCCGGCCATTACTACTATTAATAAAAGAGGGGAGGGATGCTGGACAGGTGACATTAAAACAAACCAAAAACAGAAGTCTACTACATAGCATTCAACCTTCTAAAATTTAGAAGAAGTTAACTGTTATTTATATAATAGTTTCTACCTACTTTCCCATTATCCCATATTTTTTAGTAACAATTTTTAACCACAACCTCCATTATCTTAATGGTAGTATTTTAAGCCTTCATTTATTCATTATCTTTAAATTATGATGGTGAGGGTAGAAACACATGTTCTCTGTAAGTTCTCAAGACACTATGGGGTCATTTAGCCTAGCCAGACTACTTGACTGAACCATAATGAGGGCAAGCCTGTAGAATATGAGTACTCCAAGATGCTACTAAAATGGACAGATGAGCATAGGGAAAAATTAGCAGAACATTCCTCATCATCCCATTTTCTTCCCTCTACAACTCCAGCTGCCATCCAAGCTAGATTTCCAAACAGAAAAAGGCATTGCTCATTCCAGTTTTAAAATCTGAAGGTTTCAACAGCTTGCCATTGCACTGATGACTTTTCAGTCTCTGAGAATTTTCTTTTAAAATGAGATAGGTCATATTTTAAGCCTTATTAACATCTTAATTCTCAGTTTATGCCAAGGATTAATTGTTTGCTGCTAGCAAGAGTAAGTCATAGGATAAACGCTTTGGGAGGAGAGAAAAGTTTTGAAAATAAAGCATTCTTTACATTTTACCTAGGGGTATCTGAGCTATTTCGAATAATTCTTTGTTACACTTTATAAAATCCTTCAATCATCCTCATTTTTATAATAAACATGTTCACTAATTTGTATAGACTTTCCATGATTAGGTTACTATTTCTCCAGCTCTGTGTCCTGTTATGACTTTCTTGTTGCTTTGTGTTCTGATACTACTATAACTGTTCCTTTCTGCCTTTATACAAATAAAATTTCACCCCCACCTTTACACATACATCATGTTTATGCCTAGCCAATTCCTACTCTTCCTTAACGATGATGAGTGCATGTATCATTACCTTCTCAGAGACTTCCCTGAGAGGCCCTCATATCTGCCCCTTCCTTCAGCACCCCAAAGTACATTCTTCTGTGCTTCAACAGCACATCCTACATTCTTTTTATCTATCTTCCTTCCCTTACCCTGTAGGGTAATATATACAAACAGTGCTTATAACAGGAATGGGTACTTAATAAATTCTGTGTAAGTATTAGCTTTTATATTACATTAAAATTATGTTTCAATATCAGCTTCCTCCATTAAACTGTGAACTCCTTAACCTAAAGCACAATGTTTTATTCACCTCTTTGACTTACTTATTGGATTACAGTAGGTAATCAAGGAATGTTTGTTGAAGTGTAAGATGGAAAGAAACTATTATTTATTGAGCCCTGTATCAGGCAAGATTTCTAAAATATTTTCTCAAAGATGTCCCTTTTAATCCCTGGAACCTGTAAATATGATGAGCTATCACTCATGTGATTAATTATTGTTAGGCAGTCTATGAACTTTAAGACAAAGAGATTATCTAAATTCATTAGCTTTTAAAGGCAGACACGTTTCTCAGGTTGGTGGCAGAAGGGAAGTCAGAGAGATTAGAAACAAAGCCTGAGAAAGATTTTATACAATGTGACGGGTTTTGAAGATGGAGGGGGCCGTGTGTAAAAAACGGGGAGAGGCCTCCAGTGACCCGCAGCAGACAGCCAGGAGAAAACAGAGAACTACTCTTACAACTACAAGGAACTGAATTCTGTCAACAATCTGAATGGGACTGGATGCAGATTCTTATCCAAAGCCTCCAGAGAAGAGGCCAGCCCAGCTGACACCTTGTTTTTGGCCTTCTGAGATCCTAAGCATAGAACCCAGCTGAGCCCACCCAGACTTCTGACCTACAAAACTGTGAGATAATAACTGGATGTTGTTTTACTATGCTTACAGCAGTAACAGAAAATAAACCCAAACCCCTACTACATGCTGAATATATGCAAGGCTCTTTATCTATATATCAGGAAAGAATCTCACTTAGACTCCTCAAGATCATCTTTCCTGATTTTCTGCAAAGAACTAGGTCTCAACTTTACCACCTGGACAGTAGAGAATGCATTATCAGTCATTCTTGGTCTTTTACCTCCACCAGGGTTATATGTCAAGTTCCTGAGATTATACATACACAGTGCTCCTGTGGTCATGTATTGTGTCTGTGTAATTAGTTAATGCTGAAGCATCTATCCTAGCCTGGTCTCTTTAGGCATCTTCTCCATCCTTTAAGTCAGCCAGGGGCAGAGACTCTAGGGTCTCCCACTTGAGTGGACCCCTTCCAAGGCCTTGAACTTAATTATTTGTAATTTAAAATCCTTTTTCTTAAAGAGAAATATCTAAACTGTAATAATGTCAGGTCCCGGAAAACCTGGATATACCCTCAGCTCGGATCTTTCCTGGTTAAATCAGTCTCTTCTCTTCCCCACACCTCCACACCTCTTAACTGCTAGTAAATTCAGAAATTGTCTTTTCCTCTCTTTAGTCCAATTTTTTTCTTCACTACATTTAGTGGTATCTGAATTTATTCATTTAAAATGTATTCATTTTCTGTCCCTCCATACTAGAATGTAAGCTCATTGATGGCAGGTACTTCATTAGTTTCATTCACTCCTGTAACCCCAGAACCCAGAATAATGATTGACAAAAAATCTATGCCAATCAATACATATTCACTGATTGACCTCAGATCCACCAAACCGCTACATTTCAGCCATGTTTGTAACACATCTACGTTTGACTAGTGTGAGACCCAGGCCTACGTTCCAGCTTCTATGAAGCAGCCATTCATTTTGAGATCCTGTCACATTCTGGGGCTACTTCCAGAGATCTGTGAGCAAATCGCTGCGGTTCAACAGACAAACAGACTTCTCTCTCATTCTTTTGAGTCTTTGTGTCACTTATTATTCTCAGTGAAATCTTTCTTTCCCATAGAAGCACGCAAGGATGGCTTGGGTGAATCCCTCTGCTTGGTTCCCCCCTAAGTAAAAATAACATTCCAGGATAGTACAGTCAAAATTTTTGTGAAGTGAAAATAAAGGCAAATTTAGGCAAGTGAAAATAAAGGCAAATAAAAAATGATGTTATTTTTATTGATTTATAATGTTATGTATACTAGCAACCTCATATACTAATTCCAATCAGATCACGAGCCCTGAGCTATTATTAAACAGAAATTGGTGGGTGGCCATTTCAAGTTAGGAGGGAAAATGTTTTGAAAGCAACTTCTGCTTTCTTCCTTGCCACAAACCTGCCCTGACGCAAGGAAGCAGAGTTGCTATCTGCTTAAATGAGGGAAGGAAAAGGCAAATACAAGAACACAAACAAAATCTCAAATTTTTTTCTCTCTCATATACATTATTAATTTAATCTTTAAGACAATCACATGAAGCTGATACTATTCCCACTTGCCAAAACTGGGCATGGTCAGTATCAGTGATGTTGTGTCTGTTATGACTGCATATTTTGGCTCTCAATAATACCTTACTTTGTTTTTGCACTCTGGTCTGTGAAGGAATTTAAAAGCTTTACGCAGGATTTGATTTGAAGGACAATTGGATTCTTCAACTAAATACTAGTGATCCAAGATAAAACTCATGCCCCTAAACTTGCC